TATGGACAATACCGACTTTGTTCCAAAAATCTATTCCTAAAATTAGGTCAGTACTTAATTCAGGGATTACTAAAAATTTGATTATAACAGTTTTATCCTTTAAGGTAATCGGAGTAGTAATATAACCAAGGGATAAACAGGTCTCTCCATTGGCCACGGTACAAGCGAGTTTCGGGTATCATAGGCAATCCTAAACGTGTTAATATGGAACACCTCTCTCGTCCGATTATTGAACGAGACGAACCCGAGTCTAAAAGCCCCAGAAAGGAAATTCCACTAATACTAACTTTTATATACGGGCGGGCGTTGTTAGGTACAATAATGAAAGCGTAGGACTGAGAAAACGTACTACTAAATTTGTAGGATTATATGACCATTTTATTATACAAACATGTACTAAGCTGCATACAAAAAAATCAACCGGTTATAATGATGTGCAAACAAAGAGGTCATAAATGCTGTTATTACTATTATTATTAGTAACAGCGGGTGATATTGGGTATGCAGCTTAGTACATGTTTGTGTAATAAAATGATCATATGGTCCTTCAAATTTAATGGTATGTTTTCCCTGTCCTACACTTTAATTATTATTATTATTATTCACTTTTACTTAAGTACCTTTATCAAGACTTTTCACACAGGAACAACTTGTATGTCTCATTGGACCCAATCTACTCACGTAGCTTCAGCCTGTTATAAATCATTGACAGAACACGGGGTGGGCTGCTGAACTATGTAATTCATTCATTACAATAGTTGTTCAATTACTGCCTATTAAGCAAATTTTTACAGACAGTAGTCTGAAATATGTATTCACTTCCACGTATTGAAAAATCATATACGTACCTAATCCATAAGATGTGAGCATTTCACACTCTGCTTTTATTGGACAGTAGTCGCAATTTGCCCTTCTCAGTAAAAGAGTTTTTCTTTTAAAAAAACTGCATAACTTTCTTCCTCTTCTGGGAGTTCCAAGTTCGTTTCTACGAAAAGAACGCCTCGTTTGGTTGATAATCTTCTCAAAATCGTCATCATCATCATCGTGATGCAGAGCATTTGCAGCTGCAGTTATTATATGACGAACCGCATTTGCCATACCTGCATAAAACACTATATAAGTAAAGTTATAATAAATTACGATTTAAAAATATGTACAATCTATTTTATCAACACCCATTGTAGAAATCTAAAAGTTGCATCAATCTTAATTTAATTTTTCTATTCATGAAAAATTCCTGATTAATTTAAAGAAAAAAATCAAGAGGAAAAGCCATGAAGGTGCCATAACATTAAATGCATATTATCACACCAATGTAAGTTTGGTTGTCCTCTTACTGTGAGAAAACTATTATCTCACTAGTGGATAATTACTAATGGGTGTTTGATAAATAAGTATTGACATTATTGTAAAAACTTACCTTCAAAATCAAACATTAGAAGGTGCGTTTGGATTTACGTTGTGAAATATTCCAAGAGCTTGATTGTCACAACAACTACTACTATTGGCAAGAATGCATGAGAAGCGAGCTCTTGACGTACCTCAGAAAAACTTGTACGTAAATCCAAAAGCAGCTTATGCTTGAGCTTATGTCAGTTTTGTCAGGAATAAAGTGAATGCAATGCTACACGCAGTACCTTGTTTTATATGCAATTGTGTTTTTTTACATCCCTGTAAGTATATCATTATCTCTTGTGGTTGGGGAAGTTTGCAATAATACAAGCATTTTCCACAATTCACTGATAAGGCCTGTTTCAGAAAGGACTTAACTTCAGGACTAATGATTCATCTTATCCATTGTGTTCTATCGTTCACATGTCCGCGTACCTTCGGGCAACTGATGAAAAAATGGTGGGCATCGGTTCTGCCGTGATGTGTGTTGATCAGCGTCCATTTAACAAACTTAGATTTTCAGATGCTCATGTATCATCAGTTGCTGTTTAGCAATAGAGTTCTCACTTCACAATAATACACGTTGCGAGAGACTAATGATATGTGTTTTGTGAATTTAAAATCAACTGATTGTTCGACCGATCATTCGTTGTTTGTTAAAGGGGTAGTTGATCACAATAGACTTTCTTGAATTGCTAGTGAGCTCAGTCAGTCATCTAATTGAGGCATTTGATTAGATACAAATGTGAATTTGGAGTTCACTAGGTAGCATTGCAAAATTTATACCACAACATAATTATTAGTTGATTTCCCAATATGGGCAATAGTAGTATGATAAAATATAAGACCTACCTGCAACGTGTTGTAGATGTTCGTTCAGAAATCACAATTAAACACCTTTGAACAACAATCAAAGAGAAAAACAAAAAGTGTAAGGTTAGGTTTGTTCGTCAAAATCGAAAGTTCGTCGAATGAGAAAAAGGCGCGAGATTTATGCGTGTGGCACAGTTGCCAAATTAAAGTACTTGTAGTTCACATATCCAACGCGCGCATGCAGCGACCAATTAAAATTATCAACAAACATTTTAATTAATGTAACATTTTAATTCAACAATCATATTAATTCAACAATCATTTTAAAAGATTCTTTTACTACGTCTAACAATAAAAATTTATTTGTTTGTTGAATTAAAGTGATTGTTGAAAATATTCGGCTTCAATTTTCAAATCGTCGAATTTATATGACTGATGAATTAAAATGTTTGTTGATAATTTTAATTCCACATTTAAAATGAATGAATTTTTATGTTTGTTGGACAAAATCGTTTTATTAATCGAAGTATTTCTTGCAATTCAATTTAATTGTTTGTTATTAATTGTTTGTTGAAATACAGTTTCATATACACTCATTCAATATAACAATATAATTCATTTCACATTTTTATTAAGTAACATTTTTTAAACAATCATATTTAATACGTAAGACAATAACAACAAACGTAAAAAGTAGAGGCATACGATTGACTGTTATTTAAAATGGCACATTGTAAAATTTTGGAATAAAATTGTACAAATATTTTCAGAGAACATTTCAATTCAACAATCATATGAATTCATGCTGTTAAAATCGGCAAGAATTATTTAAAGTGATTGTTGAATTAAAATGTTACATTAATTAAAATGATTGTTGATAATTTTAATTCGTATCTCTGATTGTGCGGAAGTTTCAGGAACTACAGTTTAGTCTATTTGACTACGTGTATACTAGCGCCTAATTAAAATTATCAACAAACATTTTAATTCATGTATCATCTTTATTAATCAACATTTTTTTAATCAATCTCTTAGTGCTTGTTCACAATGGACATAAGCGTTACAAAAACATAACAGATACATAAAACATAATATTGACATAAGACATAATTTTACGCAGGTGGAGAAAGTGTTCACAGTGACCGTAAGATTATAATTATCTGCGTAGGCGCAAATCCGAAATTTAAACTCGGCAAAACGTCAAGAACATAGCAATATTATTTGTGGTGTATATGTGTGTGTCACTGAGATGGAAATTTCAACAGTTTTATTGCTTTTACTGTTAAGAAGACAGAGAGACAAAGTTGTTACAAAACAAAAACGGCGTTGGTGGGTCAGACCTATAAATCGAGACCGAGAGAAAAGGGGAGAATTTAAGAATTTAAGCGTGTCTAGAAATGAAGCTGCATGATGAAGAATGGTTTTTTTCATACACCAGGATTATTCGATCACCTATTAACCTTATATCTTTTGTCCCCTTTATTAAACAATTAGGGTTTTAATCGCACCAAACTAATTAATAATTCGACGTCTATACGTTTTACATGTCGTGTTGGATATAATCAAAGAACAACACACGAAGGACCAAACCACACCAAACTATGAAATAATGCGCCAAAAACTACCTATGTACCAATTTAAAAATAACCAGATTATGTTGGCAGAAGAGATGTCATCGACGTTAGACGTAGTAACTGAAATGTCAAACCAACAGCGCAGTGCTGCGTCTTTGTACCCAACAGAAATACACCTAATTCCACTAGATTTTTCATAAAACCTACGTAAAGTTGAAACCGACCCAACTTTATGTATTTTTTATGTACCGTTTCGGTAGGACATAAAACATACGCAAACATTTACAAAAAAATAAAAATTATGTAATCATTGTGAACACATACGTTGGTTTGCTACTATTCAACATTATGAATTATGTATCTGTTATGTTTTTGTTACGCTTATGTCCATTGTGAACAAGCACTTAATACGTAAGATAAAAACAACAAACGAAAAATTTAGAGACATAAGATTGACTGTTATTTAAAATGATACATGATAAAATGTTGGTATAAATACTAAAACGGCGTTCCATAGAATAGCGTGACGCTAGAAGTGGTTAACGATATATCGATAAATAAAATATTGATATATCGAATTGGTAATTCGTATCGTTAATTATCGATATATAGTCAAAAATGGTTGATCAATATAACCATCTTTAGCGTTATGCTATTCGATATATCGATATTTTCTTCCAGCCCAAGCGGAGAAATATCAATTCAAACACGTAACGTCGGCTCCTTCTCATCAACAAGGTAGCTATTAAGATAACAAGAGTTCAATTAAAAACATCAGAACAAAGTGACTTATTAACCCCAGAGTACACGCGCCACGCTCATTATGACCGGTTCGTCTGGAAATTTTATGTGGGGCCTTTTGTAGGAAAAGGAGGGATTTACAGCGCTAGGAATGCTTATTGTGGGTTGTCCTTGACGTGCCAGTGTCATATTCAGTCAGTTTTAAGCGTGCATAGCCATTTTATCGTCGATTTAATTGAGCGTTCTACAAACCCGGTGCTTTCGACAATAGCGCGTGTTGTTTAGGAAGGAAGGTGTTTTGTGCAATTGAGATAGTTATCATCACTTATTTTGTTTTATTCTTCGTAGATTTTGGTAAGTACGCGTAAACAATTTATAGAAGTTAAATTTTAGATATATTAGAATTTCAAAATGATTAAAAATATTTTTTTTAGTGTGAAAATAATTTACGTATAACTTTGTGGTTTATATTTTCAAAATATGTCGTATTACGAAAAAGAGCAAAGACATCTTCTAGAACTCTGGAACGAACTCGAAGAAGAAGTGGTAGGCGGTTCCGATGATGAAGAAGATGTGCAGGAAGACTTTGGAGAAACTAGCAATCACGAATCTGAGTTCGAGCTCTCTGAAGATGAAGAACTGAGTGAACAAAACATCAAGTCTGGTTTGTGTTTTATCGGTAAAGATAAAAACACTTTGTGGAGTAAGGTACCAGTAGTTTTATCAAAAACTAAAACCAAAGGAAAAAATGTTGTTACTCAAGCCGCCGGAGTTACTACGATCGCCAAAAATGCAAATACAGTTCTAGACTCTTATATTTTCCGGATTCTGTTCTGGAAAAAATAGTTGAATGCACTAACCGATATATTGCGAAAATTAGACCTCGTTACAGCAGAGCACGTGATGCAGCAGATACCGATGTGGTTGAGATCAAGGCCGTTTTGGGTCTCTTGTATTTGGCAGGGGTTCAGCGATCATCCCACATAAATTTGAGAGACTTATGGATGCAAGCGGTACAGGGGTAGAATATTTTCGACTTACTATGGGACTCAATCGTTTCCAGTTCATATTACGGGCTTTACGATTCGATAATGTGAATGATAGAGAATTTCGGAAGCAGTTTGATAAATTAGCTCCTATTAGAGAAATTTTCGATGATTTTGTGTACAGGTGCAAAACAAATTACAATGTTTCTGAATTGGTAACCATTGACGAAATGCTGGAGTCGTTTCGCGGCAGGTGTGCATTTCGTCAGTACATTCCAAATAAGCCTGCGAAATATGGGCTGAAAATTTTAGCAATGGTTGACGCAAGATCCTTTTATACACATAATTTGGAAGTGTACGTTGGGAATCGGCCGGATGGACCTTTCAAAGTGGACAACAGCGCTGCTGTTGTGGTAAAAAGGTTAATTCAGCCTATTTCGGGTACTGGGAGAAATGTGACGTGCGATAATTGGTTTACGTCAATACCTCTGGCGCTCGAGTTACTACAAAAACACAATTTAACCTTGGTAGGAACACTGCGGAAGAACAAACGTGAAATTCCTGAATTTTTTTCCGCAAAAATCAAGGAACGAAGAATAAATACGAGCATGTTTGGCTTTACTAAGGACATGACATTAGTGTCATATAAACCCAAACAAAATAAAATCGTTCTGTTGCTCTCAACGATGCATTATGCAGATGAAATCGATCAAGAGACGGGCGATGCTTGCAAACCTGCTATGATAACATTTTACAACAGCACGAAGGGAGGAGTGGACGAGTTGAAGGGCAATTATTCGGTGTCACGAAAAAGCAGCAGGTGGCCTCTTACAATATTTTTTTCGATGCTGAATATCGCAGGTATAAATAGTCAAATTATATAGCAAAAAAATACCACCGATTGCATGCCGCGTTGAAAATTTCTAAAACTGCTTGCAAAAGACCTTGTACTCCAAAAGACGCCTAGAGATTGTTACTCTGCCGCTAAATATCAAAAATCGAATAATGGAAATTTTACATGAGCCCAGTAAAGCAGCCGGTGAAGGGACAAGCCAATCAGCTGCTGGAAGATGTTATTTTTGTTCTTGGAAAAAAAAACAGAAAAACAAAAACGCAATGTGCCCAGTGCCAAAAATATATTTGTAGAGAACATACAACGGTATATTGTCCAACATGTATGGAACAAAAAGAATAACATATAACAAGTTTTATACTTTGTCATTACCCATTTGTTAGTTTTTATTTTTGTGTAATATGTAATCTTAGTGAGAGTTTTACTATTTTATGCTGTTTTCGTGTAACCGAAATTACTTTGTACGAAAAAACAATTTCTTAGCAAAATATTAAAGAAGAAGGTTTATAAGTATTAGTATTAATTTTTATCTGCTCAAAAAGAAGAATTTAGAGCGCAAAAAAACGACCCGGTCATTTAGACAATAGACGCGTGTTATAATGTAACTTTTTTCTACGCGTGTTCAGCCGGGTTAACAAAATAGGGTATAGTCCGGTTGAAAGGCTAATGTCACGACCTACCAGAACAGGAATTCCGTCAAATGTTTTGAAATACTTACCTAAAGTTCCAGAACAGGTTCCTGAGTTGATCAAAAAAACATCCTGTGCTCTAACTCCAAAAAGCTCCTCACATATGGATCCATCTGATGAAATTACCACTGTCCCAACTCCTAAAAAATCAGTAAATATGAATGCATCTGACAGGCCCAATAGTATATTAAGATACAAGTGTATAATCAAGTCTTTAAAGCACGCGCAACGAGTTTAAGGGCACGACGCAAAGCGGAGTGCCTTTAACGCTGCAAGTGCTTTAAAGACCAATTATACACGTGTATCTTATAGTATTTTTTATTATACCTGCAGTATAATTTAAAAATAGGAAATACAATGAAATCATATTGACGTTATACTCGAATACATGTTTAATTAAGTGGGCCATGGAAATGTCACTTGACGTTTGCTTATAAAAATTATCGTCTTTGTGAATTAAACGATTTCCGTTGAAAAAGATAATACACCGTCCATTAAATCGGTTGTTGTAAAATCTAAACAAACGTTGGTAGGTGTAAAATCCAACTCCAATAAAGCCTATTATAAAGAATATGAAAAGTTGTGTCCATGGATGAATAGGAAGTTACTTACGAATAGTCTTAAATTAAATGCATCGATAATGCTGGCATATATGAAGGAAATGTCAAAGGTATTTAAATCTTCTATCATTTGGTGCTTTCATTTAAAACTTCAAACAATGCTGTGATTAAAAATTGGAACAGATTTGGAAGCATACCCTAAATTACGCGCGTTTGTGAAAGCTTCAACCAAAGGATAGGTACAAAAGCCAAAGAAATGTTCTGCATTTACAGAAAGCGACCTAAGGGGATTTTTTATTTCATCCAGATGACAGTTCCAAATGTCATACTTGAAGTTTCGTTACTTAACAACTTTAAAGCACGTGTGTTTTAAAGGCCCTTTTTCGCACGCATTTGAGTGTTTAAAACGGAGATTGTGATTCAGGTATAATAAAATAGTATATTAAGATACAAGTGTATAATCAAGTCTTTAAAGCACGCGCAACGAGTTTAAGGGCACGACGCAAAGCGGAGTGCCTTTAACGTTGCAAGTGCTTTAAAGGCCAATTATACACGTGTATCTTATAGTATTTTTTATTATACCTGCCGTATAATTTAAAAATAGGGAATACAATGAAGTCATATTGACGTTATACTCGAATACATGTCTAATTAAGTGGGCTGGGTGTTCGTAATTTCACGATTGCCATGGAAATGCCACTTGACGTTTGCTTATAAAAATCATCGTCTTTGTGAATTAAACGATTTCCGTTGAAAAAGATAATACACCGCCCATTAAATCGATTGTTGTAAAATCTAAACAAACGTTGGTAGGTGTAAAATCCAACTCCAGTAAAGCCTATTATAAAGAATATGAAAAGTTGTTTTCCATGGATGAATAGGAAGTTACTTACGAATACAGTCTTAAATGCATCCATAATGCTGGCATAATATGAAGGAAATGTCAAAGGTATTTAAATCTTCTATATTTTGGTGCATTCATTCAAAACTTTAAAGCAATGCTGCGATTAAAAAGTGGAACAGATTCGGAAGCATACCCTAAATTACGCGCGTTTGTGAAAGCTTCAACCAAAGGATAGGTACAAAAGCCAAAGAAATGTTCTGCATTTACAGAAAGCGACCTAAGAGGATTTTTTATTTCACCCAGATGACAGTTTCAAAAGTCATACTTGAAGTATCGTTACTTAGCAACTTTAAAGCACGTGTGTTTTAAAGGCCTTTTTTCGCACGCATTTGAGTGTTCAAAACGGAGATTGTGATTCAGGTATAATAAAAAAATAATTATGGTTCCTTTTTAATTTAGATCTGCCCTTCACTAAACTAAAGCACGCATTTCTTTGCGGATTGTCGAAGTTTTTTACCAAATACATATATTTCACTTCGGCTACTGTGTCCTCATGTACCAATCCGTCTGGGGATGCGCCAAGATAAACATACTCCATATCGACGAAGAGGAGGCAACGCTTTACCCGCTTTCCGGTAATGCGCTCATACTGACGTATCGTGTCCCCTTCGTGCATTCTTCCGAAGGCAGCTTTTGTTTGAAAGCAATCAATGTTATATAAGAGCTTTTTCACCAAATTGTGGCACGACGTGCTCGATCTTCTCTTAACAACTGCTCCGAAATTTGATGGTGTTAAATAGTTTTTACGCATTTCACGCCATAATTTTTTACCGTCAATTTGGTTCTGTGTCTCTGTGCTCTATTGAATTTCTATCTTCAACAGTTGCACCCCTGCTCTTCAATAGAGTTAAAATTTTTTCCTTGCCTTCGTTCATCGTCTATATCTTCTTTTGCTACATTTGGCCCATTGTCAATGTCAGGCCCACTATTCGACCGATCTTGAACCATTCGCCGTTTAGACGTTCTTGTTTCAATGGATCGTATCCACTTTCTTTTCCTTCTGGTAAAGATGGTGCTCATAACACTGGAGTCACGACCACTTTTTTATGTCTTCAGATGCCCATCAGGGCCTAAACTATTGAATAACGCCGCACTTGTTGGCCCTGTTGCTCTCGCTTGATAATTAAGAATTTTTGTATATGTATTGTAAAAAAACACGAGACACAAATGCAAATAGGTACTACCACTACTTATTTATTTATTTTACAAGAAGCATAAAGACCCATTTTTACGTACGTTTTTGTGTAGTCTGTAGTAAACATTACTGAAGTTGGCTTCGTGTTATTTAGTGCGCGGTTCAAACACAGTTGTCAAATACTATACTAAAAAACTCCATTTTTAAGTTGTAACAAAATCTCAACTTTGCAAGTTGTTTTTTTTTTCTATGAAGATCTCCATTATCTGGTTCTGCTTTATGACTAAAGAATGTATAAAAGAACCACGAATTTTTTTTATTGTAAACAACAATAAAAAATTTTCGTGGTTCTTTTATACATTCTTTAGTCATTTGTAGGTTGTATATTCCTACCACATCTAGTAAATTAAGTAGGATAATATAGCTATCTTTGTTATTATAATACTTACAGATTCGGTGTAACTTGTGTAGTTTTTGTTGCTAATTGATATTCCGATGCGTTATTTTGAAAAAAAGAAATCGTTTTGTAGATACTTGGAAAAAAGTGAAAATCTTCATTTTGAAAAAGTTGCAAGATTCCACGATTCCAAATTGAATGGACGTAAAAAAAAAATTTTCAAAATGGCAGTTTTCAAGATATTGACATCAACTTCTTTACTTTAAATAGACGCCATATTGGATTTTTACTCAGGTTGATTGTTTTTTTTCTCTTTCCAACCATGCGTAACAAGTTATATAGGTACTGCACATTGTAACTATTCTTCGGCTTATCATCATTTACAACTGGTATTAGTAATTACCGCTACAGTTAATGCGAGTCAAGTATGGTCAAATAATCGCAGTAGCATTCGAGACACAACCCGAAGAGTACTTAAAAGGTACAGGCATTATTTAAAATCATTATCTTCTTGGGGAAGAAAGAATTACAAAATATGTTACCAATATTTAAACTTGCTACTTGTGGTGGTGATGGTAGTTCATTGTCGATGTATTTTTTCAACCATTTGGTAGGCGCAACACTAATGTATTCGTTTCCTTCAGACTCGAATCCCAAAACGCAAAGTGGTATACCCGATCTGCTCTTGAGCATTGCAGAACGATTCACACGCGCTTGCCAATAACGAATTCGTATTGCGAGTTGGCGTTTGTCATTCGCCAGAAGAACAATAAATAAATAAATAACCAAACCCTCCATAGCAAATTTCATTAGTAGGGCTGGTTCTGGACTAGCCACTTCCCAATCAGCAAAGAAACGTTAAAAAAACATTTTTTTAAATGTTTTTCAAATATTGCAGAAACGTGACAAAAATCTGTTAATGGCCAAAAACGTTGTGACTGCAATATTTCAAAAACGTTTTGAAAATGTATGCAAAATATATATGAAAATATTTTTAGAATATCAAAAAATGTTTAAAAAACAAGTGAAAACATATTTTTAAAATGTAGAAAGAATGTTTGAGAAATGACTGCTGTTACGCCCACCAATGCAACTACTAACATAATCACCCGCCAAAACAGACGCGCCAAACCTTACAGGCACCTGTTTACCAATAACCCGCAGCAGTCGTAAGAGTACGGAGCGCCCGATCTACCCCAAGCTGTAGATGCCCGCGCACCCACTACTTAAACCCAGCGCTAGAGGACCACACCTGAAAACCTACCACTTGCAAATATGCACGACTAGTATAAGAAACTTCGCCACCCTTCTATTGGCATCTTCTCTCGCAAGATCGCATCTGAACC